GCAAATCAACAGCGGCATCTTGAATAGGTTGATTAATGTCATGAAATGTTCAGAGACTGTTTTTGTGTGCAGAAGTAGCCCAAAGATATACCTGTGTAAAGTACAGTGTCACACACGAAGTTATTTGGACGAGACCGTGCTTAACAGGGATAAGGGAAGACAAGATGTCCTTCTCTGTCTCTGTAACCCACAGTACCGGACTTCCGGGCATAATAAGGAGTAGACAAGTAGATTGCAGCTGCAAATTGGGGCTGCGGTGTGCAAGTCCACCGCCTTGGCTTCAGTCGTAGTCGCCACGACTGGACATGTAGACTGTCAGAAGGTCTGGCTGTGAATGCTTACATTCGCTCGGCAAGCCTGCGCAAACCTGACACAGCTTGCAGCTGGCTGGCCCGAGGCCTTCCTCTAGTCTTTGCAGATCTTTGCAATGGTACATCGGAGGTAGTGCACCATCAAAGTTGGCAAACACCCCCAAGCTGCCACCTCAGCTTAACTTGCGACTTACTTCATTCTTGATGGTGTGTTATGGCAACGATGTGTGTTGTTTCAATCTGCACCGTCTCCTCGCGTGCCACTGGATCATGATAGCGAGTCTGCAATCTGAGCGGATTCCCGCACTACGTCCAGAGCGAAGCGTACTTGTTCACGTCCTGCCTAGGCCTTGAGGATCTTAGCTCAGGACTCGCTACCGTGCCCCATCGTGCCCCTGCGCGGGCTAACGGGTGAAAGCTGCAGGAGCGCTCAAACACCAAGAGCTGCGATCCCACGAACATGAGCCCAACCTTCGACAGGCTCCCCAAGTATGATCAGCGTTTTCTCCCCGGTGCTTTGCGCAAGTCGTCGTGGCGCCCGCCGGCGGCACGGCGACGTCAACTGCTCTTTAATATCATGCGGGAAAACGCTCGAATCTGAAGTCCCAGTCTGAGACATCTCTGATTAACTCCCCAAATCCTCGACCCTGCCTCCGCCGCGGCTTAAGAAGAGACCTGAGGCTTCCAGCGAGCTTTGAGGGTTGAGGTGCATTAGCTTACCGTGGTGACGGAACCAGACATTCCATAACCTGAAGAAGGCATCCTGACAAGAGTCTTTGCAGCATCAGCAGCCATGCTACGTGGCACAGACCTATATCGTAAAACGTCGGCACCGATTGCACGTCCGTCCACTCCATCTGAATGCACTTCATGTCTCTACTGGTCCATGTCTCACCCCAACTTTGTCGATGTCTCACAATGTCTCTGTCGACCTACGTTTCTGTTTTTAGCTCTCTCTGGATGTCCTCGTGTCTGTGCCTCTATGTGCTCCGACTCGTGTGTCTTTTTTTTCTAAAGGCAAGCCGAGATGTACATGTGGGTATCTCTACATTCTTAGACTGGCCATGGCATGCCCCTGCAACAGATGCTTTGTTCTGACATGTCGGTTTCGGACTTCCCATGCTCATTCACCTTGGCTCCCGAACCGAAACCTGGAGATTAAACGGACGCCCGCAGACCTTCAGCCACACAGCCACATGCCCTAGGTTCTTGACTGATGTGATGAAGCTCCGGAGCCTGATTACCCTCAACCACAGTCCGCCGACCTCCTGGCATGCCTTGCACTGGAACAGATCCCAGAGGACCCAGAACCAACAGGCACAAAGACAGTAATTCTGCCGCAGCCGCTGGCTCAACGTCCAGTGGAACAATCCCTTCCTGCCACCATGACCGCGTGGTCGGTGCTGGTGGTTCTCGGTGCCCGGGCCTCAGTATGGTGTGTGCGATCTGCAGCATGGAGACGCATCGCGCTGTGTTAACTCCGGAAGCAAACCACCCCGTCCCCCAAGCCCGAAGTCCAAGCCCCACAAGCAGTGGCATCTTCACTTGCGTTGCGTCACACTCTTAGCTTCGGTGCCTCGAGGTCTTAACAGGAGCCAATGAAGTGAGGGCCCGGCCAACAGCTGTCCCCAGTCGGGAGCTCAGTCGGGAGCACGCACAGAGCTTCCCTAAGGATGCCGGATAGGAACATCCGGCCTGCAGTCAGCTTTGCTGTGCATGCTAGACCTAAGAAGGCTGTAGCTGATTCAGGTGCAGTTCTAGGCCACGAACACCCAAGGAATAGTTCATCTCGAAGCAGGGAAGGTGTTCTGTCAAGCAAAAGTCCGGAACACATTTCGGTCAACAGATTGCAGCTTGCATATTGCCTTTTGCAGCTTGACCTCTCCAGTTCTCATGGCCCACAGTGTCCACGGAGGCTCGGGCCTAGTGTTGGAGGCCGTCCATCATGAGGTGGACAAGGCTAGCGGGAATCCGGGTTTGGAGACCAAATGCAGCCTCCCTTTCCCCACTCAGGCTTCCCATCAGCCAGTGACGCCGCATGGAGCTGTGTATTCTTCCGCCGAAGCCTCATATCACGGCCGGAATCTCTCAGCTCCCAGCCCAGAGCAGTCCTCTTGTTGCATGTCTTCCTAGCATGAGTCGAATGATGACGATTGTGAACGTGCTTAGACTGCCGTAGCCGAGCTGAGATACAATCCCAAATACGCCCAACACTGAAGCCCTGGTCTCCTTGGGCTTCGCATCAGAACCCTGCCCAACAGAAGGACCCTGCATCCACGAACACCCACCCACCAATCACTCTTCCCGGCCAGGCCTCGGGTATGGGCCAACAGGTCTCCGAGTTGGAGGCCCAATTGTCCGGCCCCTACTGCATTGCTCGACCTTCTCCATCGGTATTGTCCAAAGCCGATTTTGTTGTTGACTTTTCCTGGCGCGCGGATCTCCGTCACGTTGATTTCGATTCAAGGTTACAGTTTCCTCGACATCGTCTTGTGATGTCATCTGAGTGTTTCTCTCTGCGGCAGCTGCATAGGGCATAGGTTCAGAGTTCCAAGGACCTCCATGAAAAGGATGGCGGAAGTGCAGGCAGCCGAGACGAAGGCCGGAAGCCTCAAAGGTCACTCGCCCCCTTTCACCTGTCAGTGTGCCTTGTGCCAGGCCGCGCTTGTCAGCCTCAAAGAGAAGCCCTTTCCTGAGAAACGCGGCAGGGCTTTGGGATGTTGCTGGACACAGAGCCAAGCTGGTTGACTTTGACAGTGCAAGTTCGCTTTCCTCCAGTGGGTGAGGCTCGTCTTCGCAGAGGAGAAGGAGGCCACAGTGCTTGGCGCATGCAGGTCTCGCACGAAATTCCGAGGAGTTGCCGCCGGAGAGCGGAGGGTTCAAGGTCCAAGGTTTCAGCGTTTCAGCGAAGTTCGGGCATCTCAACGGACACCCTCGAGGCGGAGACAGAGGGCGAGCTCGAGGTCTCCGAGGCCTCAGCCCAGATCCCAAAAGGTGACGAAGCTGTAGTGATGTGAAGTGTAGTGGGTGTAGTGCGTGATTTGGGTGTCGAGGGTTTCGGGCGCAGGGCTTAGGTCTTGAATTTGGGGTTCTGGGCTTGGGGTTTAGGGTAAGTGCCAGGAGCATGTGAAGGACCTGGAGAAGCAGCTTGCCGAGGTGCCGTCTTCTCTACTTTCTTTCAGTGTCACCGCATTGAACCTAAAAGGGCGTAAATCTCTTCTGCACCAGCTTCTTCCCTTCACCTCCTCGTCGTCCCTGATGCCGGGTCTGCAGCTTCAACAGTCGTTGTTTTGGCTCCTGTCCATCCATCTCCCTTCGCGTCTCGTCACAGCGGGCTCTGCCACTCCCCCTTTTCTTTGCCACGGCCTCCCGAAAACCCACGCCTCGCAAGGAAGCATCGCGAAGAAAGGCATTGGAGGCTCGACTCCTTTCCGGCACGAGCATTGCAAGAAAGGAGGTTTCTGGCCTGAAGCGGCAAGCTGTTGACACGTGAGGTCTCTTTTGGCACATCGACGTGCGTACTGTGCTTTAGACAACGGCTAGCTGCTAGCTGCCCTGCACAAGTTTGCAGCAGAGACTGTGAAACCAGATCAGTCACACCTTGCAACCCCGAAAGTCCAGTCCGAATCCCGAGCTTCCATCCCAGCCCCGGTCAGGCCCAGACCAGTGGCTCGCCCCGGCCCTGGAAGGGAGCAAGGTCCAACTTTGTCCGATGTGGGTGATTGTGCCAGCACCGGACGCCCCCACAGAGGCTTCCACCCAGCATCATAGCAGCATTCTGCTTGATGTAACGAGAAGCCACAGCATCAGCCTGTTTTATGCGCACCTGCGGACAAGTACACGTATTGTCATGACAACCTCAAGACACGAAATGTCCCTGCGTGGCACAATCAGTACTACCATTCATGCCGGCCGAAACTTCTGCTAGTTGTGCTAGCCAAACCAGTAGTCGAAAATGCAGAACCTAGGGGCGATGTCCGTGATTCCACTCTGCCTCCGGCACCCTGTGGCCACTTTGATGGAAAGTCTAAGGGCGCTGTCCTTCCTGCAGCTGGATGCGGCCCTGCCGCCACGGGTTTTGTCTCAGCAGCACGCTGATATGCTGCTTGACGTGAGGAAAAATCCAACATCTCAGACACGGGCCCGGAAACTCGACGCCGGCTGAAAGCAACATGTTCATAGCAGGAGGACGATCTCGCTGCCACGCAGAAGGAGCTGGCCTTTCCGGCAAGTTTTGCAGGTCCTTCTCAGTTCTGTTGTTTGGTATTGACGCTGGCTGCTTTTTGCTTTCGGTTCAAGGTTTGGGATGCATGCTGGACTGCATTGCACCGAAAACTGCTGCATTCTGCTGACCTCGTTCCAGCTTGCGAACACTGACAGCTTTACAGCTGTGAATATGTTCGTAGCCGTGCATGTCCGATGTTAAACTGGACAGAGGGATAGGGCAGGCTCTTTTTCGGCTCGCCATTAGTGTTAGGCAGTGTGGACCTGTCTTACTGCGTTTGAACAAGAAGTCAAAGCAAATAGGTTCTGGGCCTGAGGTTTGCGCACGATGCCAAGTTGCTCGTGCTGTGACTTTTCATGAGTCGCTTGCGTAATCAACGTTTTGCCGGGTACATCCAGGAGGATTTAGATCAAAGCGCCATACTGACAGGTCGCTGTGTCTTGCTGCCATGACGCCTGTTGTGCATGGCCTCGCGACTTGCTGCTCGCATTGCATGGGTTGCAAAGCAGCGCCAGTGGCAAGATGCACTGTCCCTGCTAGAGCCATTGAGACGGCTGGACGAACCGGTAACAGGTTCAGCTGCGCATGCCCTGACCGTGGCCTGCACTGCCACAGCGACTGCCAGTCTTCGATGCCTGTCATGGCAAGTGGCTCTGGAAGTTCTCCACTCCCTGCAGCCAGACGCTTGGGATCACGTGACCTTCTGCACAGCCCTCACTGCCTGCGACCGTGGCCTGCAATGGCACCTGGCTTTGCAACTCCTCGGACGAATGGACAAGGACACTTTGGAGGTGAATGACTTTGTAGCCTCTGCAGCCATCAGTGCATGTGGGAAGAGTTCTTCCTGGACTGTGTCGATGCAATTGCTGGAGAAGGTCTGTGCTGGGGAGTCTCTGAAAAGTTGGAGGATCAGCATCAACGCATCCATCAGTGCACTAGCGCATGGCCAACAGTGGGCACAATGCCTCGACCTTCTCAGAAGATGCGTGGAGGCTGGATCGACTGGGAGCACCCAAGACCATCTGCGTCAGCATTTAGGAACTCTGCCGAGGAAAGCATGTCGAGCCATGGCGCGTTCCCAGACGTGGTGGCCTTCAATGCCACTCTGGCTGCCTTGTCCAAGCAGGCCAGGTGGCCGCAGGCTCTCAATCTGCTGCTGGGATGTTCCAGACATGGCTTGGGTCTTTGGGCCCATAGAGGGACTCGCTCTTTCTCTTTCTCTCTCTCCGCCCCGCATCCGAGGCTGCATGACATGTGCCGGTGCAGATACCAGCCAGATGTCGTGAGCGCAGCTTTCGCTGCAGTTTGGGCTGCTGACCAATCATTAAATTAGCTCCTAGCATGCTAATCAGCGTTACTCGTCATAGAGCTTCATGGCTAGCAAAGTGGTTCATAGTTGCTCAGGTTTCACTGATTCTGCTGAGAGAGACGGACATAAAAAACGCAAGGTTTTAAGATGTCAGATCAGAACCGAACAGCTTGATCACGGGCGGGAGGCCCGCTTGAGTCGAGTCTCTCCACGCTAGCGAAGACAAGGTAACGTACCCTTTGTATCTTAAAGCTATGCGAAGCCCGACCAACTCGACACGGGAAGGAGTGAGGTTCGATTGCTTTGCGGCGAGTAGCTCACGCCGCGGGAATTGAACGGTGCTGAGGCAAACGTCGCTGCCAGCGCGTGTGAGCGCAGCTCCGCATGGCAGCGTGCGCTTGCGCTCCTACACGGGGGACTGTCGGCTGCAGTTAGCAGAGTTCGCATCGTAAGTGCCACTTCATGAGCCCCTCTTGATCCCCGGAATCGCCAAGCCCAGAAGGCCTGGGTGGGGCTTCCGAATCTCGAGACCTGGCCTCCTACGGTGTCGAGGCCACGGACGTGCGCCAGTGATTGGGGGGTTCGGAACCCCAGCAGCCCAGCACTAGGCCTCGGCGATCGGCCGCGGGGGACGGCGCTGGGCCGAGTCGCTGCAGGCTTGGTGAAGAAAACGGATGCAAACTAGACCCTGCAGGCATGTTTGTGAATTTCTGCACACCCTGCAGTGAGCAAAGTTTGAGACACAGGGCTTCCGACCTTTTGCAGGTGCTTTTGCGTGCTCATGCGTCGGGGCTGCGACCAACTCAGATGCTCGACTGAGTCATGCCTACCCAGCATACCCATGTGGGCTGGTTCCGAGGCTTCAGCAAATTTTTGCGAGCGTTGTCGGCAGTTCGGCTCAGAGCAAACCTTTTTCCCGTGCGACTCCCTGCGTGAAGGACTCTCTTCAACATAGTGCTGGCAGCCTGCGAGCATGCTGGCCGCTGGGCAGCACTCGGCAGCACCATGCAGCATCCGAGATGCTCGGATCCTCCTCAGTGGTTTCCACCTTCAGGCAGCTGGCTAGTAGCCAGTGCCCTCCTCGAAGAGATGCGCGTCTCGCGGATGGCTGGCCTGACGCCTGGGCTATTCAACATCTCGGGGTCCATGGGTCTTCACAGGTTTAAAGTCCTCAACCTCCGAAAAGGCGGATGTGCGCTGTTTCTAGCCCTGCCTGAGGATCTCTTTCAACACCTGCATCTCAGCGTGTGCCGCGGCGGCGCAGTGGCAACGGGCGCTTGACCTGCTTGCTGAGGTGCCTTCTGCGTATCTGTGGCACAGGTTTGTGGAGTTCCAAGGTCGTTTTCGCAGGTGTGGTCCTGGCTCGGATGCTGCCGGAAGCCTCGCGACTACATGATAACTTCGAAAACAGATCTCTCTAACGGTAACCCTCACCTCCAAATCTGATCCTCAAGCCAATGTCCAAGACCCTGACCCTCACGCCCCTATCCTGCAGTTCAAGCTGAAGCACGAGCTCACGCTCATGGCCGAAATTCCTTGCATGCAGGTGCAAAGCCTTTATCAACCGGATTGCACCACGATGGGTTCGAGCATCACCGCTTTGGCCAAGGCAGGATGCTGCAGTTCTCTTCAGTGAGGTCGGATGTGATGGTGCACATGATGTCGTGAACCATTCTGAAAGACTTAGGAATCAGGCTTTCAGTCCTCTGGAATTGCAAGCAGCTGGCAAAAAGCGAGCTCCGTCTTTGCGAGACTTAGGATCGAAGGCCACGTCATGTGCAAGGCTGTCATTTTCCGATTTAGCTCAGCTCCATCTATTTATCTATCTCTCTATCTCTCTATCTCTCTATCTCTCTATCTCTCTATCTCTCTATCTCTCTATCTCTCTCTTTGGCTTTCTCTGTCTTTCCGACTCAGGGGCAGCAGTGGCATCGGGCTTGTGAGCTTCTGCAGGGCTTCTCTTCACAAGGCCTGCAGCCGAATCAGGCTGCTTGGCTTTGTGAGAGGGCTGTCCGAGCCTCGGGTGTCTGGGGGTGCAAGCCGTGCAATCGTTTACCTTGAGTCTTTGAGCATTATTTACAGCAGGCCACTAGAAACAGGGTGTGATTCGGCAATGCGGGATGGCCGAATGCTACAGCCAGGGCTTTAGGCACCACGAGTACTCGGAGCAGCCTTAGATTGAAGCTACTGGCAGTTGTCCGATGCGATGTTACCGACAGGTCGTGGTGAATGCTTGCATTTCAGCGGCAGAAGCAGGCCACCAGTGGCCGTGGGCACTGGAGTTGTTGTTCTTCTCCAAAGAGGAGCTGAGGCCCGACATAATCACCTACAACACGGCGGTGAGCGCCTGTGAGAAGTCTTCTGAGTGGCAAAGGGCCTTCCAGCTTCTCCGAGAGCTCCAGGACCGGTGGCTTCAGCCGGATAGCACCTCTTACGGGGCCGCCATTTTGGCGGCGGTCTCTTCCCGGCCCATGCAATGGACGGAAGCCTTCTCGCTGCTTGAAGAGATGCTGGGACGCCGGATCACACCGCAGCTGGCCACTTTCACACAGCTTCTCATGGAGTGCGAACTGCGCGGCCTGGCAGAGCGCGAGCGGAGCTTGCTTTTGGCCTTGCCCGAGGCCTTGGAGGCTTCGGCTAGTGCCGTTACGGAGACGAGCGCTTCCGGCACGAGGGAGGATGTGTCGCTGCTAGTGCTGCATGTGGCTGCACAGAAATGTCTCCTTTCCGGAGATCTGGATGGCTGCACAGAGTTTCTTCATCGACTTGATCGGGCAGGACAGTGGAATCCCTTGGCAGAGGCCTTGTGGCTGAGGGCTAAAGGCAACAGCTTCAAAAACGGGGCAGAAGGTGAGATGCCCAGCACTGCCCGAGCTCGGGCCCCACCAGAAGGTCTCCGAGCCGGTCGGGCCAAGGAACTACGCTTGTGCCGTCACGTCTTTGCGTCGGCTTCCATGGGGGATGCGAAATCTGTCTGCGAGGCTCGGGACCACGCGGCCATGACCTCAATCTTAGAGTTCCGGCTCATGTGACTGCCAAGGCTATGGAGGACTTCGGGCACCGCTTGTCACAGCAAGGCCTGTGGCTGAAGCTGGCAGCCGGCGTGACTGGACACAAGGTAGTTCTTAGTGAGACCAACTTACAAAAGACTGGTGGCTCTCTCCAGCACATGTCATTTGGTGCAGAGCTCAGGGAGTCTCCAATTGCTGCCAAGGCGAAGGGTGACCTTCTCGTCTCAGCTTTGCAGCGAGCTCCGGCAGGCGCATCGCAATTGTGCATTGGCTTCCCACCATGTCGGCACTTTGCACACCCTCTCCGACGGTTAAGCCTTCCAGACTAGTTATCGTTTACAGTTGAGCCCCGGGGCTCACTACCAGGACCTGTTCTCGAGATCGGCTCCTACTGTGGCTACTCCGCCATCCGCTTGGCCTCGTCTGGGCGGTATGTGGTCACCCTGGAGACGGACCCCATCCATGCAGTGATCGCCAGGTGGTGCTCGGTGCTGTGGGAAGGGGGAGGGTTGACCCTTTTCTGGAAGAGCCCACAAGCAACGCAAGCCGGCCGCAATGTCTGGAAGTCTGAAAGGAATAGCAGGCTCGCTAAGGCCATTGGAAATGCGCATGCGGTCGTGCCGCAGGAACATGGTGATGATGGCGGGGCTTGACCATCGAGTCGATGTTCGGATGCTGGGTCTTGTTATGGATGTAAGTAGAACGATTACAAAGAGTAATGAGCGTAGCAGCAACACACATCAATGCAGCCACCGGCAGCAGCAGCAGCAGCAGTCGTAGTGGTAGTGCTGGTGCGGTGCCAGTGCTTGCCGTGGTGGTAGTAGTGGTAGCGCAGTGGCAGTGGAAGCGGGAGTAGTTGTGGTGGTGGTATTGGTGGTAATGGGATCAGTGGGGGTAGCGTCGCAGTGGCATTACTTAGCAATGGGCAGTGACCGTGGTGGTAGTAGTGGTAGTAGTGGTAGTAGTGGTAGTAGTAGTAGTAGTGGTAGTAGTGGTAGTAGTGGTAGTAGTGGTAGTAGTGGTAGTAGTGGTAGCAGTAGCAGCAGCAGCCGCAGTAGTAGTAGTAGCAGCAGCAGCAGCAGCAGTGGTAGTGGTAGTGGTAGTGGTAGTGGTAGTAATCTAATAAGAGTAGTAGCAACAGTAGTAGCAGTAGCAGTAGCAGCAGTAGCAGTAGCAGTAGCAGTAGTAGTAGCAGTAGTAGTAGCAGTAGTAGTAGCAGTAGTAGCAGTAGTAGCAGCAGCCGCAGTAGTAGTAGTAGTAGTAGTAGCAGTAGTGGTAGCAGTAGTGGTAGCAGCAGTAGCAGTAGCAGTAGTAGTAGCAGTAGGAGCCGTAGTAGCCGTAGCAGCAGTATTAGCAGTAGTAGTAGAAGTAGCAGTAGCAGTAGCAGTAGCAGTAGCAGTAGCAGTAGCAGTAGCAGTAGCAGTAGCAGTAGCAGTAGTGGCAGTAGTAGCAGTAGTAGCAGTAGTAGCAGTAGTAGCAGTAGTAGCAGTAGTAGCAGTAGTAGCAGTAGTAGAAGTAGTAGCAGTAGCAGTAGCAGTAGCAGTAGTAGTAGTAGTAGTAGTAGTAGTAGTAGTAGTAGTAGTAGTAGCAGTAGCAGTAGCAGTAGCAGTAGCAGTAGCAGCAGCAGCAGCAGTAGCAGTAGCAGTAGCAGTAGCAGTAGCAGTAGCAGTGGCAGTGGGAGTGGTAGTGGTGGTGGTGGTGGTGGTGGTGGTGGTGGTAGTGGTAGTGGTAGTGGTAGTGGTAGTGGTAGTGGTAGTGGTAGTGGTAGCAGTAGTAGTAGTAGTAGTAGTAGCAGCAGTAGTAGTAGTTAGTAGATAGAAGTTCTAGTGGCAGTGGCAGCGGTAGTGGTAGTGGTACTGGTAGCTGTCGCAGTGGCGGTAGTGGTAGTGGTGGGAGTAGGGGTAGCGGGCTAGTGAGTGCTGGTGATGGCACTGACGGTGACGGCATTACCGGCAACAAAGCCATCAAGTACAACGAGCACCAATAAAAACAGCGAAGACCTTTCGTGATACCAATACGCACTATGCGATGCTAGAAGTGGTAACGATCCGCAGAGCCAATCATACGCACGAGAGTTTCCAATGGAAAATGAAAGGGCACTCTCATGCCCGCGAGTCGCATGGGATTACATAATCATGAAATATTTCCAGACAGCCAAGACAACATAGTGTTGCAATGCAAGATTGAAAACAAGAACCGTAAGAACCACGACAACCGCAACAAGTATTCACGACAACATGCCAAAACACAGTTGGCTGATATTACCAAGTCTTGGAGTTGAATACCGGTATTCATGGAAGCCTTCCCGATATCTCTTGATCCCATCGTGGCTTCAAGCAGCCATTAGCCTCATGGCACCTGCCTCTGCTAAACCCCACAGTACCTACACATTTAGGCAGCGAAGCCTCGATCCTCTGTGGAAGCCAGCATCCAGGATCCTACGCGCAGCAGCAGTTCTCAATCCTTGCAAAAAGTAGATTCGGCTCCTGTTCTTCTGCAGCTCCTAGGATCGGGCACAGCAAGGACATACTGCCTCGCCTCGGCAAGTTTGACGGCGACCATAAGTTTGCTTTCGTCTTCATGGACCAGAAGGGGTCGCGCTTTCACGAGGTCCCTCCGAAGCAATCTCTATTCAACTATCCGGACCTCACCTGTCCGTCTTATGTTTCAGAGCAGTCATTTGGAAATTAGGTCTCGGGCATTTCGGGGGGCCCAGATCACGTTGAAGAGCAGGAGTTCTCGCTGCTGAGGACTTGAAGCTGCTGGCAGACAGGGACCAGCTTTGCGACGGTGCTGTCGTTGTGGCGGACGGTGTGCCCTAGCATGCTTGTTTGTGCAAAGCACGGAAGTTTACGGCCAACGCTACTTTCTCCAGGACAATGTGCTCAAACCTGGTGCCCCGATCTTCCTCTACCTTTTGGCGGAGGCCGCAAAACGTGGCGAGAGCGTCACCGAGATCGTCGAGCTTCAGGAGTTCGCATCATGTACGCATTGGGGCACCTCTTTGCACATCTTTGCACTAAGTTAAAGTGTCGATTCGGGAGGTCCTTGCATCAGGGCCTTAGACAAAACCCAGGCGATGCCAGCGGAGGACTGGATGTCTGTCAGCACACTCCACCGGCCCGATGGCTTGCTCACGCCTCGTGAAGCGAAAGTGCCGGCTGAACTCTGGGAGCTTCATGCAGCGTCGGAGCGCATTCGCATGCAGGCCACCAGTTGTAGCGCATGGCAGCATGCTATTCACGATTGGAGAGATGACCTCATCATTGGAGGCCATGGGACAAGGTGTGACCTTCAGCGAATGGTCGTTGTTCAATGCGGATGCTCGCCTGGTTTCGGGAGCAGCTGCGGGGGATGATTCCATGAAGCAGAGCACAGCGGCACGCCCATGCCTTTCCTGTGACATATCCTTGCGACAGAATCTAAGGAGATGCGGTCAGGCTTGGAGAAGTTCGGCATCCGTTCTGCACAGCAGCCGAACAACTCCTTGCAAGAAAAGACGCGTGCACAACTTTTCCGAAGCTCTTGCACTGCCCAAACACAGTCAGAAAAGAAACTAAAGACAGCGCCAGGCAGCGGTCAAGGCGCAGATCCGGGATGCGTCGGGCGCTTGGCGGCTTTGAGAGGCAGACAAAAGAGCTTCTGTGGTTGGAGGCTACTTGAACATACGGCCGAATCAGGTCCCTTCTGGATAATACCCGTTTTTCGGTACAAGAAACTTTCTGGAAAGCATCGTTGTGCTTCAGTGCTTCCTTTTAGAGCCCTTTGAGACTCGGATGGAAGTTGCATCCTCCCTTATAAAATTCCGCAGTCTAGGCTCATCAAACCGTGGGCAATCGAATCAAGCTCATGCGTGTGCTCAGCATTCAGGATTGTTTCTGAGTGCCCAAGCTTTGCAGTCCACCGTGGACGTGGGGCTCCATGTACAGATAATCGGACATCATTGATTTGGAAGCCTTGTCGCTTGGGATCCTTCAGCCGCTTCGGCCCCAGGCAGCAGAGCGGCCGCGATGCAAACGTGCAGCTCGCGACGGAATCCCGCACAGTGCTTGCTTGAGCCCGAGTCGAAATCTAAAGACAGGATTCGCCGCTGGGTGGGGATGTTCCGTGTGGTCCGGGGTTTCGTCAGGGAGCAGTCGTAGCGGGTTGTGTCGTGACATGACCATTGACACCTAGCATGCTTCGCTCGACTCTGCAATCATAGTTACTGCTGCCGATGTTCCGTGTCCACCTCTTCTCCCACTCCACCACAGCCTCAGTTCTTCCCCCGAAACCTGACCCCAAACCTGGGCAACTGGAGGCTGCCCAAAGGGAGCTGAGCCGCCTACGGGAGCAGAATCGCCGTCTGGTGCGCCCTTGCTGGGCGGCCTCTGCGTGTAGTGTTGCATCATAAGGCTCACAATGACGAATCTTATTCAAGCGTGCCGGCGGGCTTTGTTGAATTGAGAGTCTGACCAGCGGGGTTCCTGGCTTTTGGGGCGATTTCGTTTCTATGCACTACTCCAGAAAAACCCGAATCCTAAACCTAAACCCTGACTTCTAACGCTGCGCGTTGGGGCTTTCGGAGCTCTGGTCAGGAGAAGGCGGCTAAGAGAAGCGATGCAGAGCGGGGGCCCTGGGAGCAGGTTCCCTTCTGTTTTCTGTTTCGGTCTCCCTCGCACTCTCCCTCCCTCTCCCTCCGTTCTTTGTATCAAACTCCATATACCAACGGTCTATGCATGTACATGTGGATACAGAACCGGTCATTTGCTGCGTCCTTTTCCATTGGAGCTTGAGGGCTCGGTCCCACCATGATAGCAAGGTTTCTCCAGGCCGACACGAAGCTCGGCGGAGCGCTGCAGGTCCCTTTTGCGCCACTTCGTGAAGGTTTCTTCTGGCTCAGGTTTCAGGGCTCGGAGCATCGGAGGTTTCAGGGTTTTGGAGGCACGTGCCAAATTCAAAGTGAGAATCACCAGTCTTTCGCCTCTCACGTCCATGCATCCAACGAAAGTACGGGTCATCCAAGGATCTCATGGAGCTTTGGTTCTGCCGTTTTTAACTCGTGAGTATGTGGTGAGCCTGGAGCACCCCAACGCTTCGAAACAAATAAGCCTCGATGTCGAAGCATCTCCAAGAGCCTGCAGACTGAACCTTCGACCGTCGCGCTGGCGGCTGAAGGCTTCTTGTGCCGGGTGACGCTTAAGCTTGACCGCTACAGCCCTTCTCTTCGTGTGTGCGCTGCACCGTAAAGATCCAGCAGCGACATGGCCCCCGTTCGGCCTTGAAGCTTGCCGCCCCCCCTCCACATGAAGCCTCAACGTATACCTTCTCATGCTGCAAAGGCAAGCACGGCGCTGGGAAATCGAAGGCGAGCGACGGTTGTCATCACTTCGGTTTTCATCGTAAAACAGCAGGACTTGACAAGGATTACAACTTTGCGGTCAAAGTGGAAGAGTATCAAGAAGGAGAGTTGGATCGCAGCAGCTATTCACTTGGTGGTGGTAGAGGTGGTTCTAGCAGCGGGAGGGGGAGTGGCAGTTGCAGCTATTGCAACAGATGTTGTTGGCGTAGGCGTAGTCACGTTAGCAACTGATCTGCTAGGCAGCAGCAGCAGTGTCGCGTAGGGTCAGAAGGCAATCACCGTGCATTCTGAACACGGCCCCTCCCTACAACTCCCTGCTTTTTGCCGGCAGACTGTGACCAAGAGTTCTTGATGCCCGCCCGAAATTCAGAGAGGCCTTGGCAGTGGCCAAGAAGATCGGAGCCGCGGCCCATGCTCCTGCTGCCAGGGTAGCGAGTGCTCGCGGATTCTACGGCATCCTTCAAAGACATACAGAGACTCGTGGCGCGGTAGACGGGCTGAGGCAACCCGGAAGGAGGTCCAGCGCCTGAAGATGGATCGGGCAGAGCTCTTGGCAAAGCTCAGCTCCCAGCAGCAGGCCGAAGGGCTGAAGGGCTCCCGCAAGCCCTTCCCGCAGCTCATGGGAACTTGAATTCGAAAGCACAGAGGTGGGAACTTGCTATCCTTTCCTTCTACTCCCGCGGCAGCGCAACTGGTCACCCTGGTGCATGTGGAAAGCTGGGAGATTGTGACAACATCCGGAGACTGGGACGCCCGCTTGGCTGCAGGCCTTGGACAAGGTCAACTTCGAGATCAAGCAGCATTCAGAGCATGTGCGGGCCTCGAAATGCCTGAATCAGTCTTAGTGAATAGGCCACCGCTCCGAAGCCGAAACCTCCAAAGAGCCAATCGCCTTGAGATCCCAAAGACCTGTGTACAGTCCAACTCCAAAGACAAAGACCCAACACAATTCCCAGCTCGCCAATCAAGGTGGAGGAGCTCAAAGAGCGGAGCCAAAACCTGGAAGAGATGATGACGAATATGGACCAGGACTCAAGGGTACCTGGGGATGCCAGGATTTAGGGTTTAGGGTTGAGGGGTGAGGGAGAAGCAGAGTCTGTGGATGGTTCCAAAGCTTTCCCTTCAACCGAAATAGATACCTAAGCCGTACAGTACAATCCTCAAACCATCTACCGGAAACCCCAGAGGCCGAAATCACTGAACCCCGGAGCTGAAGACATCCCACAACTCGGAGGCCGACACTCTTCAAGTGCAGAAGGCGACGCAGGAGTCCGAGCGCATCCAGTCCTTCTTCGCCTCCATGAACAAGGTCGGCGGGTACGGACGCGGTTGCGGTTTGGATTTATGAGGCAAGGGTTAAGAAGCTGGCTTGTTCTTCGGGCATTCCATCCATCTTCAGGAGATTGCATGCGCTCAGACGGTACGCAGCCAGCAGTAGTCTGGTCTGGTTGCATGGTTTCAGGTTAGAGGGTTTGGGGTGGGAACGATGGTCAGCGTCATCCTGCACATGACAGTCGAAAGTGTGGAAGTGTGGGGGGTTGCCCCTGTTCAGCTTCTTGCACCAATGCACCCCTTGCTTCCGAGGAGATCCAAAAGGCCAGGGAGAAGAAAGCCAACCTTGACGCCCGTGTCGGGACCTCGGGCTTCGGGGATGCTGGAAAGATCTGGAAAAGGTTTGTGCCGTGTCGGCATGAAGTTGCCCGTCCTGGTCGGAACGGCATCTTGCTCGAGGTTTTCTCAGCGATGGCTTCTTTGTCGTTTCTGAAACCATCACCACTGAGTTGAAAGTGATTTCACAGGTCACTGCCCTCGTCTCAGCACCTTTCTACTCGACAGAACACTGCCACCTGGATGCCCAGATCGCGCAGCTGACGGTTGAGCGGCAGAAGGAAGAGCAGCGCGCGAAGAATCAGGTTCCAAAATGCTAAGCAATTTCTAGACCCCGCAGCACTCGGAGTGCACGGCCTCTCTTTGAACTCCGGATGTTTGTTGAGAACTATAATATCAAGATGTCGTTGTTTGTAGGTAGAAAGTAGTACAGTTGTCTCATACCGACAATGCACGGACACTGACGGTACCTACGTAGATACATGTAGATACGTAGAACGGACCGAGGGACCGACAGACAGACAGACAGGCAGACAGACAGGCAGGCAGGCGGGCGGGCGGGCGGGCAGGCAGGCAGGCAGGCAGACAGACAGACAGACACACGCACACACGTATACACATATTCATACAGACACATACAAGTGTACTGTACGTACGTGTTCACTCACGTACGCATGTGCGTATGCACCTAGGTACGTATGTAGGTGTGTATGTATATACATATGTATGTATGTACTTGTATGTATAGGTAGCTAGATCGGTAGGTCGGTATAGGTAGAAGCATGTATGGGTAGGTAGGTAGGTAGGTCGGTATTTATGTATGTATGTATATATATATATATATATATATGTATTATATACATATACACATAAGCGACGTTCGACGTAACATTCGCACTGCGTAGACACATGTAGATATGTACAAGTTGAGGAGCCAGATGCCGTGTTGTAAGATCATAAACAAACCGCCACTGCCACTGCCGCCGCTACTGCTGCTGCTGCTGCTACCTCCTCCTCTGTGCCTTCCTATGGCTACCACTACAACGAAGACTACGATTACTGCGACTTCTATCACTGCTACTACTACTACTACTACTACTACTACTACTACTACTACTACTTCTACTACTACTCTTGCTGACTACTACTACTACTACTACTACCACTGCTGCTACTGCTACTACTACTACTACTACTACTACTACTACTACTACTACTACTACTACTACTACCACACTGATGCTGATGCTGTTACTACCTTTCCTACTTGCTACTACTTCTGCCGCCAGTAAGGAACCAACGACTAGAAGAAGGTATGAGCAGCCGGTCCCGCCAGGCTCAAGAGGCTCGCGCGGTGGCGACAGAAGTGGAACAGGCAAACACCGAGCTCGCGAACGTGAAGCAGGTGGAGTCACTGCGGGCTTTTTGCGAGTCGGGTCTCTCACGTCATTTCCTGCGAGCTTTTGAAGTGCATTAGGGCGATGAATTTGGGCTTTGGGAGGGTGGGCAGATCCCGACCTGCTGAACGTTCATTGTAGTGAATACACGTCGCACTCCAAGGAGATCTCGAAGCTCGACGCTCAGATCCAGGCGCAGCAATCCAAGGAGCGTCCGATAGTTCAGGTATCAGGGTGGTGTTTGCTATCATTGCAAACTGTAGCCATTGCCAGTATCCGTGACTTTTGTAGCTGCTGTTATTATGGTGTGTTGTTGTTATACGCATGCCCGAACACTGAGAGGTTGCATGTCAACAATAGGACTGGTACCTGGTCTCCAAAGGACTCGAGAACCCAAGAAGCAAGAAACCAACCGCTGGAAACGGACTGGAGACTTGGAGCATTTACTGGAGCATTTAAGAAAGAGGAGCAGACCTTCAAACCCATCGAAAGGGACCAGAGACCAAGAAAGAAGAGGAGTACACCGTGCGAAAGGGATTGGCGCTAGCAAGAATGAACAGCAAAGAGCTCCACAGAGATCGGAGCATCTACGAAACAGAATGCTCCTCAAAACTTGGGGCAACACCGTTGGAAAGGGACTAGTGATGAGAGCATCCTAGGAAGAGGCTCAAACTACTCGAAGGGGACTTGAACATGTGAGAAACAGTGCATAGCTCTCGAAAACAACTAAGAATTTCAGAGGAACGCACAACTGCTCGCAAGGGTCTAGAGAGTTGAGAAAGAGGATCGATAAAGAGGAATAACCTGTCCAATCGTGGAGAATTTCACACCAGAGGTCCTCCAAGCTGCTCAAAAGGGAGTGAACAAATTGAGAAAGGGGCGCAAACTGCTCGGAAGGGCGTAGACAATTGGAGAAGCAGGCGAAGGACACTCCAAGGGCACCAGAGAATTTGAGAAAAAGGCACCAGACTGCTGGAAGGGGGCTGGAGCATCTCAGAAAGAGGAGCGCTCGACAGGAATTCGAGCCTTTCAGATATGGGAGTTGCTCAGGGATTCGCTCGAAATCGATTCGACGATTCGAGAAAGAGGCTGCTGGAAAGGGAGCAGAAATTTCGCGAAAGAGACGCGCAAAGCTAGAACGGAACGAGGGGCTTTGAGCAAGACCCGCAAAGTGCTCGAAAGGGAGTAGAGAATTTGAGAAAGAGGCGCCGCTTGAAAGGGATTAGGGGCTTTGAGACCGAGACGTCAACACGCTCGTAACGGACCCGGCAATTTGAGAGAAAGGGTCAAACTGTTCCAAGGAAGAAAGCATCGTACAAACTCCGAGGCAGCCCCGAGAAGGGTCCAAATCAATGTCGACGTCCCTGTCTCCCATTCCTCCGTGCCACAAATTGGGCATGGGCATTCGGAATGCAGCCGCGCCACGAATCTCCGCTGCAGCGCCGTTTGCACGAATACACGTGCGTGCGTTTACTCCAGCGGTGGACTTCAACAGAATACCGCAAAACCGCTCCAAAACGCGGAGCAAACCGATGCGAGTGCAGCTTCGTGGGCGCCCACGAAGACATCTTACAAGACTCTGGTTCTGATTTTGCAAGGTCCGGCCAAATGCAAGCACATACCGATCTTAAGAGTAAGCCCCGGTCTACAGCAAACAGGCGCATGTTGAGTGAGTATAACGGCAGGCGCCGCATGCAACCTGATCCGAAAGGTTTCGCTTGCAAGACCACCACGTTTCCTGCGTTTTGCCTGGACAGGAGGAGAAGATGAAGAACGAGCTGCAACAGGAGCAGGTGCGATACCAGCAGGACGGACTTGAATAACCATGGGGCCTTGCATGCTTCCGGTCCGCTTTGGCTTGTGTTGCATATGTTGCATCAACGTGAGATACAGCAGGAACAGGACGTGCAAGATAAAGTGCCCGTCTGGCATTTTGTTCGAGAGCTCTATGCCCCCACCTTTGAGACCGTCGTCTTGACAAGTCTGTGTTTCTCCTGGAGATCGGCTTCCCTTGTGTGTAGGATCCGCGCGTCAGAGTGCAAGAGGTTCAGACTTTACAATCGTGATTTTTGAAGATTCTGAAGCAGGAGCTGAAGGACAAGGAGATCCGGGAACAGCAGATCGAGGGTCTCACTACCGAGCTTGCCGCCAAGAGCAAGGCCCATGCTCATCCGGGTGGCTTCCTTTTAGAACGACGCTTCAGCTTGTCGATCAGGTTTCTATAGTAGGTTGGTCAAGTCAACTTTGACAGAGATGATGCTGACAAAGTATGTATCGTTGTTCATCAAACGCACAATCAATCAACATGTTCCCGAAGCTTTGGGCATCTCTGTCTTTATCCCGTTGTCGACATCTGTATGTTCGGGTGTATCTTTTTCCATGCCGCATGCCGCTATCTATCTATCCTGTATTGTCTATCTATATATTTGTGCATCTGTCTGTACATCGCCATGTAGCTAGCGCTACAAGTTCGCAAGGCATTACACATGATGATACACGGAGGCCAAGTGTTGAGGTGGGGGTCCACAGGTACAGAAAAGATGCCATGAAGAAACGCACCATCAAAGTCCCATGGGGGATGAAGCTTTGCTCCGAAGATTTGAGCATGCATTTTCGGCCTGCATGTCTTCCTCGCCTGCCTTGAAAGCACACACCGAACCCCAACATGCCGCCGCTCTTTGTGGGATGAGGCGGCTTCGTCGCTGGAAGCCCGATACATCAAGCTGCAGCGCAAGGCTTCTAAAGCTTTCGGGTTCGAGCTTCCCGGGCTTCGGTTGCCCAGTTAGAAGGTTGGACTTCTGCAGTCACAGGGGCTAAAGATAAACAGCATGATGCAACATAATTAACATCACACCATAGTCATGGCCAGAACAACATGATACAACACATCGTCAATGAACATGTTGTAGTATCAGGTACTATTCCACATCATAATATCATGTAGCGTAAAATAAAACAATAGAGCATGATGTAGTGTCATGTTAATGACGTAGCATGTAGTAGACTTTTTGTATTGTACAGTATAACGGAATATGGCACATTTGCAATTTTGATGTGCTACACTTTAACCTAGAATAGTATCACAAACATGTTATGATATGGTATCATTTCTCACAATCAAGGGATGCAGAACATGTTCATATATAACACTCATACCCATTCGATCCATGGATGCCCCTCTTTGTGTGCATGTCCGTGCTTGTCTGTGTGTTTCTGTGCCAGCTGATCTAACCGTCGCGGCCGATCGTGCTGTGAACGTTCGTGTCTACTCGATCTACGTCGCTACGTATTTTTCAACCTGGCCGTCTACCTCTCCACCCATCTGCGTGTGCGTGAATCCAGCTATCTCGGTTATGTATGTCTACGTCTCTACGTCTCCATACAGTGGCTCTTAAGCATTCCAGGTTCCTGCCCCGGTTCCCACAATACAGCATTGCTGACTAAGTCACTAAGTCTCGGGTCCTTCCGGTCAGGCGCGGGCTGCAAAACGACTCCTCGAGAAAGAGAAGGCCAAAGCGAAGGAGCAGGACTGGGATGGCCTTGGGAATTTTGGGCCTTCAGGTTTTTAGGATCGCAGCATTAGTTCTGGTTGTGGACGAGGGGCAAGACATGGAGGTGCCGTGTAGCATGTCGAACTGTGTGCTGAGTGAGTGCTAGATGTGTTCCGAGTGGCTCGTTTTGCCTTGCCAACACCGGCAACGGCGCCAACACCACAACCACGGGAGCTGAGAGCCCGGACCACTGACGGTCGGCAGCGGAAAGTAGACAGCCGTAATTGTGCTGTTTCTCAGATGGAGCATCAGATATTGACGGGAGGAACATGCAGTTGTGATGCTGATGATGTCAGTGATGACACTGATGCTTTCTTGCTGTAGATGCTGCTATCATTTGCACGATTGCGAATATGCCTGCTAGTTTTATGGCTTTCTTTCTCCAGTACATGGCTTTTCTCTTACAGCTCAAGTCCAGTCATGCAGAAGAACATAGACGAAGCGCTGGAGGAGAAGGAGGCGCAGGATCAGCTGCAGCGCGAGAAGGTCAAAGCTGAGGCGCAGGCGGGCTCCCAAGTTCCTCCAGGAGGAATCGTTTGGGGCTTTGTTGTTTCGTTGGAGCGGTTAGGAAGTGGTGAGGTGGGGTATACGATTTTTTATTCGAGATTTCATCCACAGCATTTCGAAACGTCACAGGTGAAACATCGCCGGATTCCTTCCAATCGAAAAGAGACCCCAAGGACTCCTGCAACGCTCCCCTGCACGGAACCAATGCAGAAGGCGCACGAGGATGCTGCAGAGCTGCAGCGTGTCCAGGAAATGCTTCAGAAGGAGGCTGGGGAGTCTCGCTGCGGAGGGAAGGGGAGGATATGCCATCGAAGGCGTCCATGGTGTGGTTACAGAGTTGACGCAGAGTTGACTTGTCAGGGAAACAGGTGTGACGAGGTTGGAGTTTGGATTTGCAGAATCTGGCGCATCTTCATATGCTCGGAGTTTCTCACAGCATGTGACATGCGGTTTCCACCAAATGCAGACATTTCATTGCTGTCCTTGCTGTTCCTGAGGCGAGGCTTGCCAAAGACAGCTTTGCGGAAGAGGTGGGATGGGCTTCTTTGCCGGCCAGGGCTGCGCAAACCGACACGTGATCAGGATACCGCAAGCTAAGCATGGGATTTGGGGCAAAGGAGGTCGAAGCTGCTGGGTTGGGGAATTGAAGGGTGGCCTCTGCAGGTGAAGCGAGTCGAGAACAAGCACTTGAAGGAGGCCTGCTGTCCTCCCGCTTGTCATTTCTCCGTTTTCTCTGTTCATCAGCGAAGAAGCATCGGGTTTGGTCTGCTTGATCTGTCAGTTCGCATGATTAGCAAGGTGACTCCCAGACTTGATCCGATTGGAAGAGACCTCTGCTTTGCAGGTCAAGCAGCAGGAGCAGAAGATTGCCCATCAGGTGCCTTAGGGAGGATAGTTACGGAGACAACTTTCGCCGAAAGAAAAAGGTTTCAGCTCAACATACGCTACTTCGGCACTCCGAATCCCCGCGACCGGCCCTAGGTTGGTTGGACTGTACCGCAGGTAGGGAGAGCATAAGACTCCGATTGCCAGGTTGAGATCGAGAAGGGCCAGATCATGGAGAAGGCCCCCAGAAATCTATGATCCATGCAACGCTCTTTCTGATACCAACTCCTCAACTTCAGCTTCAGCGACAGCGGAAAGAATGTTTCGAGGGCCCCGAGAGGGCTCCCTGGTGTTGCCCGGAAGGCGAAGTCTGAGGTGTAGCGGCTTGCAACCTCACCATGCGTGAAGGCGTCTGATACATGCATACTGTTCGAGGTCAATCCCAATCGCAATCTCTTTCGCCCTCTTCCTCTCTGTATATATTGCGAGCTGTCTCTGCCCCACCCAAAGCCCCAAATCCCAATCATTCAACCTCAAAGCGCTCTACCCCTCAATCCTACTGCGCCCGAGGCCCTGAGCCCTAACCCTGATGTGCTGCAACTTAAGCCTGCACCCCACATCGATACCCGGCACCCTAGTCTTTTGCTGTACGGATTAAGCAGATTCTAAATTTCTAACTCTTCAACCATCTACTTGCTTGTCAGTAAAGCCTTCGAATTGCCCAAAGGTTTCGCAGCTTCAGAAGGAGCTGACGCATGAGCAGAAAGTTGGCCAAGACCAGGCCCTCTCAAATACTGAAGCGTTTTATGGAGCTGGACTTGGGATCGTGGGCTGCAGGGCTTGAGGTTCGTTCCGGCTTGCCGATTCCAGGCTGTAGCCGTCGGGACTTGTAGACTCTAAAGTTTCTAAAGACGTGCGATTAATGATGCCTGTGAGTCGGGATGGATCGACAGATTCAGACAGACACAGGAGATGAAGACTTTCAGACTCAGGAACAGCAGGTTGGTAGATCAAGAGATGGAGCAGTGCTTCTTCGCCCATGCACGAGGCCGCGGAGGCCACCAAGAAGGAGGAGGCACTTCGAGCCGAGCTCAGGAAGACCAAGGAGGCCTCTCTGGGCTGCTGGACTGGGGCCTCTTTCAAGCGACTGTCCGGATTTGACAGGTTCCAGGGCAGGGCCTGTTCCGGCCTTCTCCGGCAGCACATGGTAGTTATCGTGCCCCAGGCCGTTGAATAGCCCCAACTCTGTGCCTCAGAGGCGAATTGTGAGCGCACACACCAGCAATTGTACGAGGTAATCTCATTTTGAAGTAATAACGGTCAGAAGTAGTGGAGGTAATAACTATACTGTAAGCATTCGCAATATTGCTGATGATGATCATCATGAGCATTTTCACAAACCGTGTGGAAAGGCCGCCGGCTTAGCTTGAGAACCGTCATAAATCGACATAGTCTATAATAGTAGAGCCATGATCAAAGGTGTTCTTGGACAAGACGGAGACACCAGCCGTGCTTGTGACGATATTTAACCACGAGCAGGAACAACATCGGCCCGACTCAGCAGTTGTCTTTATGAGCACCATAGTGGGCGACAGCAGCATCACAATCACCGTCAACCTATCCTCTTTTCGTTGGGCTTCGAGGCTGCTACTCTCGATTCGTGTGGCTTCTGTTGAAAACAAGAGCTGTGCCACGCAGGCAGCAGAGGAGAAGGCCCAAGCCACAAAGAAGCGCATGATGGATATGCAGAGCAGCCTGGACTCGCAGAGGAAGGCGGGCATCAATTGAGTCACGGTGGAGTCTGTATCTGGTTTCGCTATGAGCTGGTGCGGCCTCGGCAGATTTGATCTAAACGCTTCAAAGTCGGGCTTACCAGCCGCACCATTTACACCTTCATCCCGCTCAGCACAAGCCGATTGCTGCACCTGGGGCATCGGATGAGTGATGCCCCTATCCAATGCTACAGCAACTGTGAACTTCCTGAGACTTTTTTTGTTTTCAGCGATGTTGAAGTCTCAGTTTGTACCCGTCAAAAGACCGGAGCTTGTTTTGCACTGCGATTTCTATCATGGCTCTCGTGAGTGCAGTAGACGATGCTTGCACGTAGATGTTGGAAAGGCAGCTCAGAAAAAAAACAGGCCGAACGGCTTCCGCAAAGCTTAAGCTGTACTAGGTATGCGCGGGCTTAGTGGTAGTCAACATGTCGGCGAATCATCCACTGTTCAACGACCGACGTGGCTCACGTGTCGCGTGCCACATGAGTTCTGCCAGCTATGCAGACAAACCTTCTCCCTGCCGTGGATGCTTCAGGCATCCGCCGAGAAGGTCCAGGCCGCCAATTTGAACCTGCAGAAGGTCCAGGAGGAGGTCGTTGAGGAGGAGCAGGCGCGGGGAGCTTTCAGGCTTTGGCGGGCTGTGGACAACTAGACTGTAAAACTGTCTGGTCGTCATATGTCATATTCGACGACACCGATGCACCTGCTGAATCTACAGGATCCCTCAGTACGACCAAGCAAACTCCAAACGGGTCTGCCTTCGCTTCGGCCAAGAAGCCTTGGTCCACACATGGCAGGCTTTGGCCAGCAAGAAGGCGGAGCTTCGACGCATCGAGAAGGAGGTGGCAGTGTCTGGGAGGTTGATTTGGATTTCTGTAGGTGCCGTGCAGCCGCTGCCCAAAGAACTCAAGCATGCTCAAGCAGTACAGCCAGGTGCCCCAAGTTCAAGAAGTCAGTGGAGGAATCCAAGCTCCCGCAGATTCATTGCATGAAGTTTACACTCTTGAGCGCCTCTCTCCTGCCAAGCCCGAGAACAAACGGCCAAATCGCGCATCTTCACGCCATGGAGTTTTGGAGCCCAGGATGAATTCCACGGAACACCCCCTCAACCCTCCCAAAACCGCCCCCCCCCCGCGTGTTGATGCCTCTCTTCTTGGAGGCCAAGTCCATGGAGGAGAGGGCCGACTTGGCCGAGCGCCAGGCGCAGCAGAAGGCGCTCTCTCAGGGGGCTCTGGGCCGAGATTTCTCTAAGACTGCTTTGCTTTCGGTGCTTTCGATGCTTTCGGTTTTGGGTTGTTTAAGCTTTGAAGGGGTTGTGTATACTTGCGCTGACAGGGTGATGGCGTACTTGGTCTTACGTTTTGCGGCTTTGGGCTTGTGTCGGCTTGCGGGGCACCTGAAGCCGCAGGAGGCGCGCCTGCAGGCCAAGATCCGTGCTGCGAACCTGATGGAGAGACGAGGCGGGCTTTCGGACCTTCGGCCTTCGACACCGGACTCTACTGCTGCCTCGCGTGCAAGCTGCTACCGGTGCTCGTTGAATCTCCATCACGACGATCGCGCTGCGTTGAATCATTGCCATCGTCTGCTAACGACCATTTGTCAAGACATTGGTTTGTATTCTCATTGCCACTGTCCGTCCGTCGCCTCAATTCTTATACCCTGTAGTCCTGCGCCCCGATCCTTGGAATTTCCAGCCGTGAGCCCTGAAGTGTCAAGTCCTTGATGATCTAAGCCATGAGCCATTACCCCCACCCTCAACCATACCACAAACATGACATAGATCGACGGCAATGTGGAGAACTCCGCGCACCCTACCTGAAACCGAAGACAGCTACTCCCTTGCCCCTACTCCCCCAAACCCTAAACCAAACCCCTAAAACGCCCCTAAACTCTAGAATAAACCCGAAAGCGTTCTCATGGCAAGGCAAGACCGCCCTTCAGCGCCAGGCTGAGCATCAGGCGCGGTGGAGAAGTTTTTTTGGGGGTCAAGGTCTTCTATAGGAGGCTTTTGAGCTCTTCTAGAAAAATTCAAGAGTTTTGGTGGCTATTTGAGGGTTGGTCGCGCTGTTCACACAGGGCGAAGGCTTTCTCAGCACCAACAGCAACAGCAACAGCAACAGCGACAGCGACAGCGACAGCAACAGCAACAGCCACAGCAGCAGCAAAAACAACAACGGCACAGCAATGTGTCATTAGGGTTTAGGGCTTAGGGTTTCCGTCGTTACAAGTTCTTTGACGGGGTGCCCGAAGCCTTGAACACGTGGTTCTCGAGGCAGCTAAGCTCAAGAAGATGATCGCGGACGAGAAGTCCATGGAACGAGAGCAGGTGTGGCACTCATAGGAAGACACGGAACATGTTTGTTGTTCTGTTAGGAAGGCTTCCAGGAATCAGTGATGGGTAGTGGTCAAGACTGCTGTTTCTTTACGTGAGAGATGGTCATGGTCTTGCAAACAACCACGGACGAAAGCATTATTGGCCGGCTTGGTTTGTTTCAGAGTGCAGGCCTGTTTCATGAAAGCAGGGCAGGCAGGTCTTCTCATGAACTACAACAATTCCCTGCCTCCCCACACCCCCCCACAAGGTAGCGGATTTGGAAGCAGAAATCCGGAAAGTGCAGAAGGCCAGCAGGGCATGTTGGGAGAGGCTTCGGTCTGGGAGCTTGCAGTTGAGGCAAGTGTGGAAAAGTGCCGGCATTGGCCACCCCCACGGGTCCCAAATGCAAGGAGACAGGGAGAAGGGAGAGACACAAGTTCTCCGATCTCTTTTGAGGGGCTGCCACTTTTTCTCACATCGCATTTTGTAATTCCTTGCGACATGTTTGCTACCCTTTCTGAATCTCTCCATGTGTCCTGTGCCCCCGCCTCTTTCCAGCAGTTTGCTGCTGCTTCCCGAGTTATTTTTTCTTATCATTTCGACAGGTTGATGGTTTTATGCTCCGCTTTCCCGAACTTTGCATTGTCGTGTGGGGTTTGAGCTTGTTACTCTAACGTTCCAATCCCTTTTCGACTGGTGGTGTCAGTTTTCTGAAAACCTACTCTTTCTCAAACTCTCCTCTTCTCAAATTCTGTAGTCTCTTTTGCGCCGTTTTGCTACAGTTTCTCAAACTTTCAGTTCCCTTTCGACTGGTTCCTCAAATTCTACTTTGTCCTTTCTTCCAAGAAAGTCTGTAGTCTCTTTTGCGCCGTTTTGCTCAAGTTTCTCAAACTTTCAGTTCCCGTTCGACTGGCTCCTCAAATTCTCCTTTTTCCATTTTTCCAAGACTCTCTAGTTTCTTTAGATTGGTTTGCTCCATCCTGTTTCTGGAACCTCGTTGTCAAGTTCTCCAGCCTCACTCGAACGGTTTGCTACCGTTCCTCGAAGGCTACACAAGCCTTTTCGCGTCTTCTCCTCTTTCTGAGACGTTCATCGTTGCTAATTTGTCAAATTCCCAAGTGTGTGTTCGAGCAATGCGCTCCTGTTTCTCCAAGTGTCATTGTTTCAGTGGGACTGGCTTTTCATATCTTTCTAATTTTTGGCGATGTGCCATTGTTGCTCCATTTCGCTATTGCAACTTGTTTTCGAATTGTCCTTTTCGTCGGCATGTTCTCGCCGCTGTGTCAAATTATGTTTTCTTTCGACTGCTTTCCTGTTTCTCAAACTTTCCTGTTTGCCAAACTCTTCAGTCTCCTTCGAGGGGTTTGCTTCTCTTTCCAAGGGCTTTTGGCTTCCGGACAACAGCGTAGACCCAAGCAGCCGGATGAAGACGTCCGCCGGCGGGGTCGGGAGAACCCAGGCTGCAAGGAGGAAAAATACACTAGCAAAAGGATGTACTCCGGAAAGGCAAAGATCCAGGAGGTGCAAAGCGGACCTTCTATTACTGTTGCAGCATCCAGTTCATCAGTAGTGTAAAACTAACCTGTCTCACGACGGTCTAAACCCAGCTCACGTTCCCTAGTGGCGAGTGAACAACCCGACACTTTGGGACTTCTGTGTCAGCAGGCCGCACACGGACCCAGGGAGGCGAAGGACTAAGACCTTGACGGAGAAGTGTAGTCGAGGGCAGAACCGTAGGCGATCACAGAGAGCTTTTTCCGCTTGCTCCAAAAACAAAGCCGCACCAGAGGTGGGAAGGGGACAGCATTGCTGCTGACGCGAGAGGCGTGTCAGGCAAGGAGCAAAAACCGACAGAAGAGTCGGTTGGTTCTTCCAACGGCTGCAGACACCGGAGCAAAGGATGCAAGCCCCGGACTGGTAGTAGGTGACAACAACCGGCGACAGGGACCCAGGAAGGCCGGGGAAAAACACCTTGACGAGGCTCCAGGTTCGCTCCTTTTCGAGCGGTTCGCTCCTCCTTCTCAGATTGTCTAGTCCGTTTCGAGCGGTTCGCTCCTCCTTCTCAGATTGTCTAGTCCCTTTCGAGCGGTTCGCTCCTCCTTCTCAGATTGTCTAGTCCCTTTCGAGCGGTTCGCTCCTCCTTCTCAGATTGTCTAGTCCCTTTCGAGCGGTTCGCTCCTCCTTCTCAGATTGTCTAGTCCGTTTCGAGCGGTTCGCTCCTCCTTCTCAGATTGTCTAGTCCCTTTCGAGCGGTTCGCTCCGCCTTCTCAAATTGTCTAGTCCGTTTCGAGCGGTTCGCTCCTCCTTCTCAGATTGTCTAGTCCCTTTCGAGCGGTTCGCTCCTCCTCCTCCTCAGATTGTCTAGTCCCTTTCGAGCGGTTCGCTCCTCCTTCTCAGATTGTCTAGTCCCTTTCGAGCGGCCCGCTCCTTCTTCTCAGATTGTCTAGTCCCTTTCGAGCGGTTCGCTCCTCCTTCTCAGATTGTCTAGTCCCTTTCGAGCGTTCTCGGTTCGCGGTTCTCAGATTGTCAGATTGTTTAGTCCCTTTCGAGCGGTTCGCTCCTCCTTCTCAGATTGTCTAGTCCCTTTCGAGCGGTTCGCTCCTCCTTCTCAGATTGTCTAGTCCGTTTCGAGCGGTTCGCTCCTCCTTCTCAGATTGTCTAGTCCGTTTCGAGCGGTTCGCTCCTCCTTCTCAGATTGTCTAGTCCCTTTCGAGCGGTTCGCTCCTCCTTCTCAGATTGTCTAGTCCCTTTCGAGCGGTTCGCTCCTCCTTCTCAGATTGTCTAGTCCCTTTCGAGCGGTTCGCTCCTCCTTCTCAGATTGTCTAGTCCCTTTCGAGCGGTTCGCTCCTCTTCTCCTTCTCAGATTGTCTAGTCCCTTTCGAGCGGTTCGCTCCGCCTTCTCAAATTGTCTAGTCCGTTTCGAGCGGTTCGCTCCTCCTTCTCAGATTGTCTAGTCCCTTTCGAGCGGTTCGCTCCTCCTCCTCCTCAGATTGTCTAGTCCCTTTCGAGCGGTTCGCTCCTCCTTCTCAGATTGTCTAGTCCCTTTCGAGCGGCCCGCTCCTTCCTTCTCAGATTGTCTAGTCCCTTTCGAGCTCCTCCTTCTCAGATTGTCTAGTCCTTTCGAGCGGTTCGCTCCTCCTTCTCAGATTGTCTAGTCCGTTTCGAGCGGTTCGCTCCTCCTTCTCAGATTGTCTAGTCCGTTTCGAGCGGTTCGCTCCTCCTTCTCAGATTGTCTAGTCCCTTTCGAGCGGTTCGCTCCTCCTTCTCAGATTGTCTAGTCCGTTTCGAGCGGTTCGCTCCTCCTTCTCAGATTGTCTAGTCCCTTTCGAGCGGTTCGCTCCTCCTTCTCAGATTGTCTAGTCCGTTTCGAGCGGTTCGCTCCTCCTCCTCAGATTGCCTAGTCCGTTTCGAGCGGTTCGCTCCTCCTTTTCAGATTGTTTAGTCCCTTTCGAGCGGTTCGCTCCTCCTTCTCAGATTGTCTAATCCCTTTCGAGCGGTTCGCTCCGCCTTCTCAGATTTCCCAGTCCGTTTCGAGCGGATCGCTCCTCCTCAGATTGTCTAGTCCGTTTCGAGCGGTTCGCTCCTCCTTCTCAGATTGTCTAGTCCCTTTCGAGCAGTTCGCTCCGCCTTCTCAGATTGCCTAGTCCGTTTCGAGCGGTTCGCTCCTCCTTCTCAGATTGCCTAGTCCGTTTCGAGCGGTTCGCTCCTCCTTCTCAGATTGTCTAGTCCCTTTCGAGCGGTGTAGCGGTGTGCTCCTCTTTCTCAGATTGTCTAGTCCTTTTCGAGCGGTTCGCTCCGCCTTCTCAGATTGTCTAGTCCGTTTCGAGCGGTTCGCTCCTCCTTCTCAGATTGTCTAGTCCCTTTCAAGCGGTTCGCTCCTCCTTCTCAGATTGTCTAGTCCCTTTCGAGCGGTTAGCTCCTCCTTCTCAGATTGTCTAGTCCCTTTCGAGCGGTTCGCTCCTCCTTCTCAGATTGTCTAGTCCGTTTCGAGCGGTTCGCTCCTCCTTCTCAGATTGCCTAGTCCGTTTCGAGCGGTTCGCTCCTCCTTTTCAGATTGTTTAGTCCCTTTCGAGCGGTTCGCTCCTCCTTCTCAGATTGTCTAATCCCTTTCGAGCGGTTCGTTCCGCCTTCTCAGATTTCCTAGTCCGTTTCGAGCGGTTCGCTCCTCCTTCTCAGATTGTCTAGTCCGTTTCGAGCGGTTCGCTCCTCCTTCTCAGATTGTCTAGTCCCTTTCAAGCGGTGGTCATCCTTCTCAGATTGTCTAGTCCCTTTCGAGCGGTTCGCTCCTCCTTCTCAGATTGTCTAGTCCCTTTCGAGCGGTTCGCTCCTCCTTCTCAGATTGTCTAGTCCCTTTCGAGCTGTTCGCTCCTCCTTCTCAGATTGTCTAGTCCCTTTCGAGCGGTTCGCTTCTTTTTCTGAGATGGTCTAGTCCCTTTCGAGCGGTTCGCTCCTCCTTCTCAGATTGTCTAGTCCCTTTCGAGCGGTGTGCTCCTCTTTCTCAGATTGCCTAGTCCCTTTCGAGCGGTTCGCTCCTCCTTCTCAGATTGTTTAGTCCCTTTCGAGCGGTTCGCTCCTCCTCCTCAGATTGTCCAGTCCCTTTCGAGCGGTTCGCTCCTCCTTCTCAGGTTGTCTAGTACCTTTCGAGCGGTTCGCTCCTCCTTATTCTCAGATTGTCTAGTCCCTTTCGAGCGGTTCGCCCCTCCTTCTCAGATTGTTTAGTCCCTTTCGAGCGGTTCGCTCCTTTTTCTCAGATTGTCTAGTCCCTTTCGAGCGGTTCGCTCCTCCTTCTCAGATTGTCTAGTCCCTTTCGAGCGGTGTAGCGGTGTGCTCCTCTTTCTCAGATTGTCTAGTCCCTTTCGAGCGGTTCGCTCCGGCTTCTCAGATTGTCTAGTCCCTTTCGAGCGGTGTAGCGGTGTGCTCCTCTTTCTCAGATTGTCTAGTCCTTTTCCAGCGGTTCGCTCCGCCTTCTCAGCTTGCCTAGTCCGTTTCGAGCGGTTCGCTCCTCCTTCTCAGATTGTCTAGTCCCT